TATATATATATATATATATATATATATATCACTAAACTTTCTACATTCTTCATCGACGTTCAATATATACAAAATTGAATAAATAATCGAGCGTAATTACTGCTACGTACTACCGATTTTAAATCTTCTTCATTATCATGGAATTTCTCAATATATGTATATACAACACGCAAAGTGAATAGGAATGATATATCAGGATTTCTGGCTATGTCACATTTTAATCGTATCTCTTAAAAAGAAAATGCATTGCAATGCAAATGCAATGAAGAAAAATATTCAAATGATCATTTCTCCTATATTCAGTGTGTAAAAATTAGTGAGATACCATAAAGATTTTCGGTGCCCTTTAAACGACGAGGTAAAAAAAAACCTTTAACTTACTTATTGAGTACTCATAATATGTACTGTGTGTTGATTTTCGATCAATACAGCAGTAAAGCAAATATACAATGACTAGCCTGGAACAGAAAAGCGATACTACGGAAAAAGTTGTTTACTTCATAACAGGCTCTTCCTATACTGTTGTTACTCTCGTAGAAGCTGTGACTATGTCGCTATGACAATCTGTCACTCTGAATTTGCTTTCAGTTTCGTCCGGCGTTACTTTGGCTATTTGTGAAGTGATATCTTGCTTCGGGTTATAATTAAAAGGTGGTACAATTGCGGACGCAGGTATACGTACACCAGCCCCATTAACATACGTTTGTGTAGAACCTTCTGCATTTGCAGAGTCTACTCTTATAAAGGAACCAAGACGTGATATTCGTTTTGTAGGATCCACTTCTACTGTGGAGGACTCGGTGTGTTGTGGCTTTCGAAGAACGACTGAGGTTTCCCCTACTTCCACAACGTCTTTCTTGTACGTAGATGTATCGTTAGACTTTACAGGTATCTTGCAAGGAGCATCATTCGCGTTCATTCCGCTTAAGTCACAAGAGTTTCTGTACTTCACTTTACTAGGTTGCACGCCCATTACCAATGGCCTTTTCAATTTGGATTTGTACAAAGCTGATACAGGATGATCATTTTCTTGGGGCACTCCTTCAAACGTTGAACTACGAAATAATCTAAAAGCTGGTGGATTACTCACTGGAGATGGAGCATCCACTTCATTGGCACAATTGCCAGGCTGTACCCATTGCCTAGTATCTGGTTTCTCAAACCGTTGCTTAATTTTGCTCTCTTCTACTTTCTTCCAAAGGCTTGCAATTTTACTAGTCGCTTCCTTTGCTAATTTTCTAGTCTGTACTCCAGTTGACGAGTTTGAAACGATACTGGAATTACTGTTGGATCTCTGACCAAGAGGACCGACTTTACGAAAGACTTTACCGTTTTCTGCTTGTGCAGTATTTTGACTAATTGGTACTTTTTGAGTTGCAGTCACCTTTCCAGTAGGTAATCGTTTTGGGGCTACTAGTAACGGCAATGTTTTCGGAGATGGAATCTTTTCTGAACAGTTTCCCTTTGACGATTTCGATTGATGCGCTTGATGTGTCTTTGGTGAAATTTTTGGTTTCCCCGATGCTGGATGTACCTTGGATGTTGCCCCTCTGATAGGTTTCGCAATCTTTGTTTTTATCGGGGAAGAAGACGAAGAAACTACGGTGGGCGCATTTTCCACTTCCGGTTCGTCTTTGGTAAACGTACCTTGTCGTTCCAGAGGTTTGACTGTTACGTCTGACTTAGTCTCTTGTTGATAATTCGAGGAAGAACATGTTGGAGGTGTGCTATGTCTTTTCACAGATTTTGTGAATGTTAACGATGATCCTTTCTGAGGAACTGAAGCTCTTTTTGCTGTCATTGATAGAATTTTTGTTCTTTTATCATCTGTTGAACCAAGAGTTGTTTTAGACTTAATATTTGATTTTGCAGATTCTCTTGTTGAGACATGTGAGCTATTATTATTTTGTCTGAGCGCGGTAGCTCTGGTTGCTCTTACAATAGGTGAAGTGTTACTACGACCTATAGGTATCCCGCTAACTGGGTTTATTTGTTTCAATGGAGACGACTGTGGCGTTGGTTTTCGTGTAATTGGATTCGAGTAGAGAGCTTTTCTTCTGCCTCGGATAGCCTTCGGACTTTCTGGATCTGATTTGTCAGTAGCATTAGAATCGTTACTAGGATCTCTTACCATGCCTGGTTTAATTATTCGAGGTCTTTTTGTCTCCCTAGGTGGTCCCTCGGTATTATTTGATTCATCCTCGCTTTCAGTTTCCACATTGTCGGTGTACCTGATGTCTTCTTGTGATTTGGGTGTTTCAACCTCATTTGTTTCTTTATGGACATCCTGTGGTTCTTGTACATTATTTATCTGTCGAGTACATGATCCTATTAATTTTTTTGAGACGCCATTGACAAATCGCATTCGTAGATTTCGTTCAGATTCCGATTCGTTTGACACTAAGCTAATAGTCTCGCAATCTAGCAACCCGTCTTCTCCAATTTCATTTGCCTTATTTGATTCGTTCAATGTATTTAATACGATAGTTGCATTCTGTTCCAACATTGTTTGAATTTCATCTGATCCGATATTGTGCGTTGAATCTGGTACTCTATCCTCTGTCGCGTTTACATCGACATTACTTTCTAAATCTTTAAATACGCGTTCTGATTCATTCAAAGTTCTTGTACGATACCTTTCCCTATTTTTTTTTTGCTCAGTACGTTTTTTAATCAATGTTTTACAAGCAGATAGTTTTGACAATGTAGGAATAGCAGACTTTACAGGAGACACTGCTCCTGCTGGCTTTTCAGAATTCTCTTGTTCACAAGTAACACTAACTTCTTGATGATCATTCTGATTATTCTGATTATTCTGATCTTGATTTATGTTACGAAAGGGATTTTCCAATACTTGCGTCTGGAACCTGGCTCTGTCTTCTTGTCTACGTTGTTTAGGTGTCAATTTCGAGAAAGGAGAGCATTTACCTCGTTGAATTTTTTCTTCTACTACATTTTCTTGCTGTTCTCCTTCTTTTTTATCGATTTTTGCAGTTATAGTGTATGTCTTGTACCTTTCCTTGGCTAAGGTTCGTTTTTGTTTCGGTGTTAGATTTCTGTGCAAACGTTTTCTAGGCGTGGATTCTGCTGAGCTACTGACGCAATACTCAGACGAAATTGGCGTAACCGCCTCATCGGTATCGCCTGTTTCGTCGATTCTGTCTATCATAACAGGGTGCGGAGCTTCTTCGGTATGTAATTCCGCGTCAATGCACAACGTGTCACTACATACAGTTTCTGAGGCTTGTTCGACTGTCGATTCATCCATTTCACAGACTTCATTGAACAATGAAGGGGGATTGATATTTTCTAGACATTCGCTCAGACTATTATTTGCACTATTCTGCATAGCTTCAGCGTAGCGCATGCACGTCATCGAAAGCACATTTGCAACAGGTTTTAGTAAGTCAAATACAGCATCACTTCCACTTAAGTTCTGCGAATCTTGATCCTTAGAGTCTGCCACTTCTGATGTGATACTTGCCACGCTCAACATACTATTTTCCATATCACCAACGTCCGGTAATTCATCCATCATCGAGGGTGGTTTGACACTTTCTAAATGTGAACCAGTACACTCATTCAACAAATTTTCCAAACTACCAGTATGACTCTGAGTTTGACTAAGAGCTCTTTTGGCTACAACACCCAGAGGAAGAGATTTCTTGCGACAGCTTCGAGAATCTGACGAAGATACGTTCTTCACCTGGATTGGAGGTAGGGAAGCAGAATTGCATCTGTCTCGATTAACGAATGATTCACTACAGTCACCTGAACCTGCATAACTTGCAGTCAGTGATAATAGGCTTCCCATTGAGGAAGGGGGTTTAATTGCTTCTAAGTCCATGGATGTCATACTGGTTGTGTCCAGCTCGTTTTGTCTGTTCATTTCCGCATCCACTGCTTCAGCTAATTTAATAGCTTCTCTTTGAATAATTTTTGAGCTTGTCATGTGTCCATTTTCACTACTTGCTGTTTCATAGCACTCTGAAGAAATTGTAACTTGTTCTTCTGGCATATCACTCTTAAATGAGGCAATTATAGGAGCACTGATACTGATGCTAGGAAAGGAGATATCGTTAGGAGAATCTTCGTTCCACGTATCACTTAAAATACTTTGTTTCACTGCGCTCGAATCTTGTTCTCGGATTGCTTCCGTTTGTTGTACCAGAGTTGCAGTTAATCGATCTAATGAAGCAATCATGGCATCAGGATCCCTTTGACGTCGATATACATCTTCTTTCTCCATGTCTTTTGTTGAGTCTACAAGCTTTTGTGCAGATTTATGCTTCAAATCAACTTCTTCTTTATTAATGCCATCTACTTCACATATGTCATTATACATTTTATTGCTTTCATCAGAACTGCTAACTCGTTTTTCTCCAAATTCATCTATAATTTTATTTATTGTAGCTCTATTTAGCTGAATATTGTCCATGGTTTTCAATAGTCCAGGCTGTATGCACAGTTCCAAAAGTGCGTGTTCGGACTGCTCTACAAAGTCGATCGATTCACTGCTCTCTGAATCTGTTACTTTTGTATAAGACTGCTGCATAGATGTGTTCTCAATAACTTTATTTTTGAAGGTTACTGGCGCTTTGTCATTTTCCCATTTAACAGAATCATCATCTATATTTTGATCATTTTCAATAAGATCATTATGAATCAAAGACGACATATCCTCGTTTGATTGAGTATCGATACTAGATAAATATTGCTGCTGAGTAGGTTCCGTATTGAAAACCACCGTTTCATGCAGTATTGGGCTATTTCTCAAATTTGAAGGCAATGAAAAATTGCACAGATCATCGTCACCAATTAATAAATTCTGTTGAGTGTTTCTTACCTTATTTAATTCACTCAATAAAACTTGATTTGACTGTTGCATTGGAATTTTAGTTTCTACCACCTGAAATAACAAAAATTTATGTTCATATATATATATTTACGTATAGTAAATTACTTAAAGCCGAATAAATGTTAAATAAAAAATGTTAAAATATGTTAATTATATTTATCAAAATTGACTATACAGTGACATAATGTTTATATTTTACCTTTTCCATAAATTTGGCTGTATTTTGGCTATAATCTGACTCAATATTCATGTTTGTTGAATTATCATTAACATTATCTGTACAAATATCGGGATCTACCATTTCTTCAGATCCCCATCGTTTCATATCAAGGCTGTTCATGGTAGAATCGACTGATGAATTACATTCCATTTGATCTAGTGCAACACTTGTTTGGTACCTGGCTAAATTGCTTTCATTTCGTGGAACTTTTTCGAAATTATTTCCTATAAATGAATGCCTGTGCCTAGAAAGAATAATAATACATAAATTATTTCCTAGTTATTTATTATTTTGAACAGTAAAAGTAATAAAAATATGTTATTAATGAATATAAAATAACGTCGAATATAATCAAATCTAATAAATAAAATAAGTAACTAAGTAAATAAATTATTTACCTATTATTTTGCATTCCAATGTTAATGCAAGCTGTAAGTAGATCTTCATCGTCTTCATCACCATCACTGACTTGATCTAAACATTCGGAAGAGTTGTTTATATTTAATACACAAGGCATGTTACGGGTATCTCCTTTTAGTTCAAATTCCTTACATCCTGAATCGTTAGAAGCCTTCAGTGCACTGGTCACGTATGAATTAACTCCGTTGCTGGGATAATTTTTATCGTTCTTTTCGAACATGCCATTTTGAGTGTCATATTTCTTTTTCATATCTATAACAAAATAAGAATTCATTTTTCAAAATATTAATTTTTCATAAAATTTTGTTTTTAGGCAAATTTTAAATATCATGTAAAATAAATTTTCACACATTTTCTTTACCTGGCTTATTTTTTGTGAAATTGGACGCTATATTATCACCTTCATCATACTGTAAGCTGCTTGTAGGTACTTGTGCAAGTGTAGTCCTTAAGCTATCAATAAAAAGAACAAAGATGTTTTATTTATTTTCTTACGTATTACACATATTAAGTAATTCCAAATGAAAAAGAAAAACAATTGATAGGAAATATGAATATGATTGTAGTTATGGTTATGATGTAATTAAAAACTATCAACAAATATGAATTTTGCAATATTTTCTTAAGATACTAATTAATAAAAAACTTTTAATTAGATTCATTATCATATACAAATATACAAACCTTACTGAATTTTTTGCAGAGGCACGAGTATCTTTCTCGACATTGTCATTCTTGATATCTGTTTCAAAATAATGCGACGCCTGACTTCTCTTCTTCTCATCTGAAACATCCGTGTCTTCTATGTTTAATTCGTCTTTATCCTGTAATTTACTCTGCTCCTGAATTTTCTTCAACAAACTCCTCTGCCGACTATCCTCCTGCAAGTCGGATGCAGACGCAGCTCTAGAAGAATTCAAAGACGTTCCATGCGGTGTTCCTTCAGTGCAATAAGTCTTCACTGTATCTTCGTGAATGAGTTCCTGATCATTGCTTGTAAAGTAATGGGAATGTGGTTTCTCTTCGTCTTCTAGACTTCGCTCTGCATAACGCAAACTATAATCAGTTGGTTGATCCAAATCGGTCTCAGCATAATCACTGAATAAATTTCCTTCAGTTCGATGACTGACGGTTGGCGAAATAGCTTGTTGTATAGTATTCAACGAATTATGTTGGTGCAGTACAGTCTTATCGTAGACATTTCCAATGTTGATAGTGTCTTTTACGGGAGAATTGCTGTTAACGAACGACAATGTGGACGATGTTTCTATTCCACTTTTTGTGGTCACGTACTCCGTTTTTGTGCAAATGTTTAGTTCCGTTTCCTCGGAAATGCTAGATTGGCTGCCAGTCTTCAGCGCAGAGGATATGCTCTGTGGCAAATTATCTTCTACGGAGGAGTGCAGCAAATTTTGTGAACAGGCGGATTCTTGGTCTGGAGCCGAAGACCACGAAATGGTAGAATTGGTACATCTAAGGTCACCAAGACCATTAAAACCATCCGATGACTTTAGACGATCTGGAATGGCGTTTTTATAACGTAACGTGTACTTCTTCTCTGAAGATGTCTTCGTATGACTGTCACTAGATATTCCGTTGTCGAAACCGACTGCGGAATGTAGAGACGAGGATTGCTGTTTTATCTGAATATCAGTGGGTGATAGTCCATTCAATACGTGTCGATTTACTCTTTCGAACATAGTGTCAGAGTGAGTGCTTGTTATGGAGCGCATGGAGTCCCTACTCTCGCTCCTGGCGACTCCGTTGCACTTTATGTTGGATGTGCTGGGCTGGTTGTGCAACTGATAGGAGCGTAAAGTGCGCGTGTTAATCCCTAAGAAGCTGCGTTCTACCTTGAATGAAAATTTATCATCTTTGTTAGTCGGAGATGTGCTAGGTTCAATATTATCGCAAGTTTCGGCCAGGTTTTGATCTATTTCCTGCTCAAGAGCCCTTTGTCTACGGGCAACCAGAGTTGGTAGAGTTGGAAGGCCTAATCCGCGAGCTGTTGTGTCTAAGTGAACAAGGCTGTTGCAACCTGGTCTGGCACTGAGTAAATTTTTCAAGGCTGCGCTTGAACCCATTGAAATCATTTTGTGCTTAGAGTGGATTAGACTATGAAGCATTGGAACAGCGCCCAGGTCCCATAATAAACGCTGATCTTGTGGACATCGAGCTGAAAGATTCCACAGAGCTCCACAGGCATTACTAACAACGGTTAAACTAGGTGATCGCAATTGTTGTAATAATACTTGCAAACACCCCCTTTCTCTTACAATGGCTCGGTAATCTTCCCTAACGGCAATGTGGCTAGATACATTTCTCAAAATGCCACCAGCATTTTCTACAATAGCTAGAGTTTTAGATGGGGCTTTATAACTCAACATATCTACGAGGAATGCCAGTGCTCCATCCACGGCGCAAATGTCTACTTTATTGATACTACAATGTGCTGACAAGTTCCAAAGTGCAGACAATATCGATTTGAGCGTTGATTCTTTCCTACCCTCCATCGCAGCCTTCATTAAACCAGTCACCGCCCCAACTTCTCTCAGTGTTTGTTTGCTACTAGTATCTGCTCGCCATGACAAATTTCTCAAAACAGATGCTGTAACTTGCCTAAGATCATCGCTCAGACTTCTCAATTGCGAGACCAGAGCCTTCATGAATTCCCGGAAGGAACAGAGTAATGCTTTATTGTTTCCATCGCCGAACGTCAGATTTGTCAGAGCCATGCCGGCATATCTACGCAAGGTGATGCAGTTTTGGTCATCGCATTCGCTTCCATGAGCCATGTGATCCATCTCGATCAATTCTGCAACCGCATGAAGTCCACCGAGTTGGCACATGGCGTGACGATGAGCTTCGTCGAAAGAAAGCTTCATCAGTGCTGCTATCGTTGGCCCAGGATGCCTTTCCAAATCATCAGGAACTTGCCCTGTTTCCAAGGATGTCCTTAGAGCTTGACAATACTCTCGCAACTGTTCCAGGAATCGGAGAACCCTCGCCTCCCGACGTCCAGCTCTCTCGTCACTCTTGGCATACACTATATTGTGCAAAGCTCGTGATGCTCTATCTCTGGTTTCTGGATCCTGTCCCGGAGCGTGAATCAGCTGTACCAACAGCGGCAGACATCCTGACTGTCTCATTATGAGGCAATTGTCTATCGAATTGCTCATAGAGAGCAGTGTCGCGCTCATATCTTCTCGACCTTCTGTGCTACCCAGCATTCCCAGTAAGTTGTAAACCACGTCTACTTTCGCTCCTAGCCTTCGATCGCCTTGCATTTCCGAGGAGCAGCTGAGAGCCCCACCCGAATTCGAGGAAAAGCTCATCACGCTGGCAACGTCCTGCAGGAGAGGGTGGATGTTAGTGCGAGGGTTTACTACTGGGGGAGGATTAACTATTCTTTTATCAAAGAATAGCAACAGAAAATATAAATCCTTTTTTAATATTTTTAGAAAACTTACCAGAAAATATTATTGTTAAAAAATTTGTATATTTTCCAAATTATATCAATAATAAGTATATACTTTATTACTTTTTATATCTGTTTTAAATTGAAATTTTTTTATTATTTCTATCAAGTTTATGACAAAATTTTTTAACTAATTTTTATTCCATTTTCTTTGTGCTTAATTGTAAACAACTGTTTTCTTTTTTTAAATAATGTTTCTTAACGAACCTATTTCGAATATACCATAAAAGAAAATAATTTATATCATAGATTGCAAGAGATATGATAACCGTCTACTTTTTAATTACGAGTATTATATGTTATAATTAATATTCATTAATTAATATTCATTAATTATAACATATTAGGCAATTAAATAAATTTGTATCACAATGAATCATGTCTAATCATAAATAATAATTTTCGTTCCGTAGATCGCTTGTATAGTAATGCTAACATGATGAGTCAAACTTCTTTTTCGCAGGTCATTGCTCCCGTTTCAGCATAGTCTTTATGACAGGTTACGTATTTATTAATGTCGCTCTGTCCATTCAGATTGTGTATGATCCATATATATACATTTGTACTACTACACGTACTTTCTCTCTCTTAACATAATTACTTCTTTGGAGGCTATTTATTCTCCATTTATATATAGTAGCAGTAAAAAGAAAATAATAAATAATAATTAAACTAAAATAGTTAATGTATGCAAGTGTACAAAAAGGTAATAATTCTGTAGTTCAATAACGAGGTATATTTTACTATCATTAAAATAAGAAATAAATATTATTTTTTTCTAGTATAATTCATAAAGAAAAATAACTTACATTATGTACAGTGGCTGATGTGCTTTGTTGAGTAGAAAAGCCCATTTGTTGATTGGCCCATGCATCTCTTCTGATGGGCCAGGTTCCTCGATAAGAAGACGGTAATCTGTGACCCTGTAGGGATGTATCCGGTTTGTTGTCTTCCTCGCTGCTTCCACCCTCATTGTAACGTTTATTTCTTCTTGCATATATCTGCTGAACATAATCAAATATTTCCACTGATTTATTGAGATCTATTAATCCACTTTAATCTTACTAAAAAATTTGTCTATTCTTTAAATTCTTAAATTCTTTAGAGCCCATAAAATCATGATTTCTCCTATATCTACGATATAAAAACCTTTACAAAGGTATGCTGAAGTACTTACAAATATTTACCATGCGATATATAATCATCCTTGTAAGAAATAAGTTATAAAAATGAAATTTCTTTTGAATCGATTCGAATTTCCCGCTGTATATGGAACGGAAGCCACGAGGTTAATTCCAAACTACCCGACGTGAAATAATCGGTGTTCCTACCCTAAGCGCCTTACGTATTTGCGCAGAGTACGGGAAACGAACGAAATAAATTCTTGCGGAAATGTTTAGGGTGACAGGGCGAGTTAAAAGGGCGGTGAAAGAGAAAAGCGGAGAGATAAGAAGCGCAAGCAGGAGAGGAAATGCATATACGTGCAAGTAAACGTGTATAGCCGCGGCTAGAGAAAGACAGAATGAGCTCTCCGTAAAATCAATACGTGGCTACGTTGGTGGAAGTGTATATACGAAGGACTCGTACTCCACAAGCACGAGGCAATACCAGTGGTTTCCAACCATTTCTTTTTAAAATTACATTCCAATTAATCATAAAAGAACGATATACAGTTCTTCCAAAATTATAGCAAATAACGTCGACGTATATAATTTTAATATAACCTCAATTTTTTTAGGTGTCTCAAAGCTAGTTACATAAGAATGCAGCATGCTGAACGGTTATCATAATTATTATAGGGAACAGGCAATGTTTACACAATTCCTAATGCCAAACTTTCAAACATATTGTCAAGCACGAGGCGACAGTTGTGTAAACAAGTAACTTTTGTTACTTCCCTCTAATGGAGAATCTTGCACGTCACGCATTTTCGTTTACACACTCTCGAGCATCCCCATAGATACTAATTGATTTACACACTCGTTATGCAGAGATAACTAGACGTTGCGCCTGTGCTTTTAGGAACTGCGTTAACTATCTTCGATACAATTATCGTTGCTATCTGACAATAAGAGTTTACATAATGTCGAATGACACGACGACATTCCGTTATTACGAAAGGTAATGAAATATAATAGTAAATAGTAACATTGTTTCTATCACTGACACTAGCGGTATATAGAAATTACAAAAAAATTATCCAAGACTTAAACACTAAAAAACTACAAATTAACAGCAGTGAGTACTAATTTATTTCCCTAATCTATTTACCGCAGATAAGTAGAAATTATGAAATTTTTCCTAGGATTCCGAATCCCTCGCAAAGTAACCTGCATAAACAAAGAAACCAAGCCGTTGCAGTGAAAAGCCGCATTCCTTCAGCAACTCAAATTCACCTGTTCTATCTGTGCGTTACAGGCTTCTCTTCGAGTTTAAAAAACAAAGCCGTGCAACACCATTCAGCAAACGAAAAAGATATGCACACAATCTAGTCCGATCAATTTCAGTGTCATCTCTCCGCTATCGCTCCATAAACCTATCAATCATACATCGTATCATGCATTAACCAAGAATCAATGAAAACAAAGGAAGAAAAACAAGCAGTGGAAGAAGAAGGAGAAGAATTGATAAATGAAATAAGTACATCGAGATAGAAAAAATGGAAAAATTGGAAGAAGATGAAAGATTACCTCGGGGCTCGGCGTGGACGACCTTCGTTCGTCCTCCTCCTTCACTTCCGGCTCCATGGCATTCTCCTTGCTGGTCTCAGCGATCACGGAGCCCAGGTACAACCTCGGCCTGATGTGGGCATTGACGGGCAGAGAAGTGGAGGAGGATGGAGGCGTTTTCAGAGCGTTTTTCACCAGCGAGCATCTCGCGGATATCGTCGCTGCTGCGACGACAGGGTTGAACGCTGCGCCGTCCACGGACGACTCCAGCTCGTGCGCCGCGACGCCGGCCAGGGGCGTAGGTATCTCGATGTCGTGGGGGCGCCGCTGGGCCCTCCACGAGCCGACACCTTCCACGCCGACGCCTACCGGCCCCTGAGACACGCGACACTCCCCTGACAGCAATCTTTCCGCTCTCTTTTGACAATCCTCCGAGTCCTCCTGCAATAATAACCGGAATGAATTGCAGATGCAGCTGGTGTTCATATTTCGATGGGTATTTGTTTAGGATGATTCTTGTATTTTGATTTATTTGAAGAATTTGCACGAACAATTTGAGCAAGGACTTGTTAACAATGAGAGATGAAAGGAAGCCGGTAGGTGTTGGTTCAAGTGGTTTTCAATGGATATTTATTTTAGGATGATCTTTCTGAGTGCCTTGATTTTTTCGCTAGGTACAGATTTCAGGATAATAAGGAACGAGTTGTAGGATTTTATGTATATTATTAATTCCTGTATTCGTAATAACTTAAAATTAATTTTAACATTTGAAAAGTGCGAAAATATATTATCCCACTGTCAGATTGTCAGATTAGTGGAATAGGAAATTTTTTGTTTTCGTAATTTTCAAAATTGTGGTTGTTAAGGAGTATATTCTAAATTATTCGATACTAGATTAAAATTAAAAGATGTTGGCAGGGAACAATAGCAAGTATCCTATACGTTGCTAAAATGTATCGACATTTTTTCGCAGAAAAGTCTCTAGATATACATACGTCAAGTATAAATCTACCAAGAAGCAACGAAGTCTCGGATAAAGTATTCAAGGAGAAGATTAAAAGTCAGATTGCAGAGAATTGGGTAACAAGATGTAACGCAACGTTTGCAATTTCTATGAAAATGTTTTCAACCTCTATTCTTCCTTTCAACGTTGCTCGGTAGCCACTTCTTTTCTGTTCTCAGATATAATACTTTTCTCAGTGATAATCGAAAACTGATTTATCGCGAGAATTAGACGCTATCAATCGATATGTTTCTGCATACAAGCGGAATGTGGTTGTTGCTTCGATCGGTACAAGCCGGCACGAGTTGGCACGATATTCTTTAGTCCAATATTTAATAATTCATTGTGTACTAAGTTCATCATACGTGTTATATACTTGTTAACTTAGTTGACGTATATATGTTATGCATATTTAGGCACATGTACGTGTAATTTGCATAATTTATGTATAATTTACGTGTAACACACACGTAAACATTAACAAATGCGTAAATATACATATATTACGTATAATTATACTCGAAAAGCTTGATTCAAAGATTTTATAATATCAAGAAAAATTGAAGAAAATTAGAAACGTGAGAATGTAAAGTGATTTATAATAACAACGTAAGGCAATGAAATTTAAATAATGACAGAGCAAACGTAAGCAAGATATGCAAATATTTGATACTGCCATTTTATTACGACAATCAGTGTACTGTTTGGACCATAATTTGTTATATAACGAAGCGTAGGCAGTGCGTCCTTATCATGTAACATCCTCATGCAGACAAAATGAGCGAATACAGTGTCACAATTGCCTGTGCTAAAAATAAATTCATATCTGCAGAACGTAAGAATTCTTTGAATGAACATCAGATACTCGAATGCTGATAACCGATGAGTCATATTTTAGCCATTAAACATTTCATTCATGAAATTAATCTGATTCCGACTAAACGTTGCATTGCATTAATTCAAAGAATATCGAAATAATACGAGCCCATATTGTCCAAGTCATAAATTGTGATAAATGGATGCTAATAGGCTTCAAGTTCCACAGTTTAATGAACCACCCAATGAATCAATTATCCACTATTATTCGTAGAATTTAATAAACTCGATCACCGTGTATTGCTTCAGCACACTGTGCATCCTTTGAGAAAGACATTACGAATTCGTAATTATTGTACAAACTTTTTCCTCCATTAATACCTCCATTTTTAATGTCACGATATTCGTCATTTGCAACTGACTATCGATACATCACGCTTCTTTGGACGTAAATACAGAAAGAATTTTAAGATACACAAATATCGCTCGAAGAAACGATATTGCATATCAAACCATTAAATACCGGTATCTCCATTTCTTCTGGTAAATCACGATATTAAACTCGCACTTCTCTATCCCACTGACTCGATAAAACCCGGGAAAAGGGAGAACAACGAACCACGAGAAAGATATGAACCTTCCCGCCAGCCAAACAGTTAATTCCGCCGCGAAACGTTTGAAACTGATCCAAAAAAACTGAGGGGCAGCCGCGAGATATCGGACTTAACACCACCCGGCCGGGTATACTGCGCGTATCCCACGTGGTCCATTCATTTTTATCCAACCGAATTTAGGCCTCGGCAGCCTGTGTTTTCGTCGGTTTCGCTCTCTTTAAGCAAAGCAAACAAACGTCGCCGGGGGAAAGCATGTACCGCTCGAATTCGCGCGCCGAAAGCCCGGCAATGTCGATCGGCTGCACTTTCTCCCAGGTTCACGGGCGTTCCTCTCGAGCTTCCTGTCCGTCGCTGCGTTGCGATCGCGGCTTAAACGTCGCTTCGTTAGACGAGGCACGGCCGCTGCGTGCTAGAAGCAATTAACCCGTCGCGTTCTGGGCCAGCGAAAGGTCATCGCTGCCGCGAACTGCGACGTCCTCAAAATGGCGCCCGGGACATCCTGCGGAACCAGAGGAATCCGCGTCAGCCGAATGCTAATCAGAAACAGGGATTGAAATCGGTGTCTTAAGTGCCTCGCGGAATCGGAATAGTAATTAGTGGAAGTTGCTAAACACTCGCTGCTTAATCGACCAGCTGGCATTTTAGAAATAAATTAAGGAGCATCGGGTACTCCGTGAAAGCGGTGGAACTTGCTTCGATCGAACAGCAATTGAAAATACGATTTCTAACAGTCGTGTGCTTAATCGGTGTGCAGGAATTTGCGACAAACGAATGCTGATGAGAGACAGGCACTGAAATTGGTGTCTCGAGAGCCTCGCGAATGGGAATAATAATTAGCGGAGGTTTCTAAAAATTGGCTGCTTAATCGGGGAGCAGGAATTATCATAAATTGAGAAATATTCCATATAAAATAGGAAGAACTCGTTCGAAGCGAGTAATAATCTATGTAAAAATTGAAACTTGTACCTTAGATCTTCCAGAATTCGAGTAACAGTTTTCAAAATTGCAGATTCTACAATTTGATTGGATCTAATTTGAAATAAATGCACCAAGTACATTTCCCGAAAGAAGAGTATCAACGAATAATCGGAAAAATAGCTATTTAACGATATTTTAGGAATATAAAAGATCGTAATATCTAGAATGGAAAAATATTCATGTCCCAGTGCCTCGTGAGTGATATTTTCTTAAAATTTCTCGACTTCTGAGGAACTCGCATTAAAGCCAGGATAATGGGGCCAGATCGGTGAAGATCGTTAACGACCGCATGTTTAATCAAAGAATAAGCATTGTCGGGGAATTTTGCCACTTTCACCCTGTTTTCTCCGGCGTTTCAGAAGTTCAAGAACAATGAATAGGCTGGTAACACGGATAACCATGCGTAACGTTGATCCTGGAACTATCTTGGAGCCTTTTTAAACTATAACGAGCCAGGTACGATCGAAGATAATAGCAAAGGCTGTTAAAATACAACTGACTGTTAGCAGGAAAGTGTGTAGAAGACTTGTTCAAGCAAAGATATGTAAATTGCTCTGAGATCATTGTTGAGTTATGATTCAAGGTAGAATTTATCATCAGGAGTAGCCACCGAAGACATAAACGAGAGAGTCGAAAATGATTTTATAAGTTGATTTTCTCTTCTATTTTACGATCATGCTCCTGGGTTTCCTGCTTTTCACACAGTTTGACTTCAAATTTCTATTGTAACCGTGTCTATCCGAATAGTGTAACGACTTTTCTCAACGCGTTTAGTATCTAGATGTAAGTCGAATTCAGAGTCAGTCATAAATAGAGTAAATATGAAAGTGGAATAATTCAATGCGATATTAGATTAATAATACATTAAGAAATTAGAATTGGAAGTGTAGCAAAATGTTGATTCAGAATTCGGAAACTGCGGTAACATTAAAAAAATGGCATAATTTCAGGCTGCAGAGTCTTTTAGCACAGCGCACAGCCCCGCAATATGGCGTGATTCTGATATTACTGTGCTCATGCTTATAGGCGCTTGTTATCGTTTCTTTTCACTTTGCCATCGATTTTAGCATTCTGCAAGAATAAAAGCAACCATCTGATAATTTCACGTTCCAAAAAATACAATAGACGCTAAGCAGGAAATCTAGAAAGAGGAAATATCACAAAAATGAAGCTGGAATTTATATAGTTGCAGTATACTTGACAATAACTCCAAGAAATTCGAATATAATTCGGAAACTCGAAGAAACGAAACAAAACGGATAAAGAGAAAAATTCGTCAAAGAAAATTTGATGGACTAACTAATTAATTCGTCACAATTACGATACTATTTATAACAATAATTACGATATAGTCTTATTTGTTTCCCCCACCTTAAAAATTTCCAAAATTCTAAGTAAAAAGAAACAGGAGATTTATAATTCGGAACAAGAGAATTAAAAAATTGGAAGGAAATAAAGAGAAACCTAATGAATGAACACGAGTCGTAAGAATGCCTCGCTATTTTAAGGAATTATTCGTTCGTTTCACGTGCTATTTTAGGGAGTTATTCGTTCGTTTCAGGAGCTATTTTATCGGCAAACGTGAGTTTGGTATGTCCCAAACCACTGACTTTCATTCGGTTATTCAACTCCTTCGCGATGAACGATAGCAAATAAACGCGACAAGTACGCGTCCACATCCTGCGTGAGAGCTTTCTAAAATCGTTCACGACGAGGGATTCCGTTCCGCAGTCAAGAATTTTCCCCGAACAGGCCACGGTTTTTTCATTAAATCGTAATTCCGTTATCGTCGCGTCGAGAAGTATTATTCAACCCGTAAATCGCATATTAAGTAAGAAATTAACGTGGCACGGCGGCCGTGGTGAATCATCCTTAATTGGCTCGTGATTCACAGTACGTTCAGTTAGCCTCGATTCTGCATTTTCGTCTTATTGCCTGTTTAAACATCATCAAGTCGTTTGTTATCATCAGCGTGATTTCTTATCGTGTATCTTGAACACGGGGAGATTTATTCTGTTAATAGCATTAAA